ATTGGAGAGAGGCTAGTTCGTAGCCTCTCTGAAATACAACCAGAAGCTAATTTATACGAGGTATTTAACAAGGAAATCGGTCTCCACTTTGTTTAAAAACTGGCGTGGTTTATCCCCTTTAGGAAGCAAAGTAATAATACCGAGCTGTTGAGTTACAGGAAGGTTACCGGTATCATACCCGAAATTGAGAGACCGCAAAAGAAAGCATGATAAAGAGAAGAAAAATTGGTAGAATTCAAAAGTAATGATCCATCTGAACCTGGAGACTCGCCGTTTTTGGTACTCTTCAAAACTTTCAATATTTCTTCATGAGTCTGCGGGCCACTTATTTTGTCCCTAGTCAAATTTGAAAGAACAGGTGGGTTAACCTTGTTGAAAACAGCGCGAAGATTTATGGTAGGCCTATGTTCTGAGTACGAATAAAGTTTCTTGTAAAAAACGGGCCTCTTTAATGATATCTCGTGAAGTCGTTAAATCAGTACCGTCACCTTTTATAATTCTACTAATAATCCTATTGTTAGAATTACGCTTTTCCAACTTTAAAAAGTACTTTGATGGTTTCTCATCATACTCCATCCACCTTGTCCGGGATCTAATCATAACACCATCCATCATCTTGGACTGACGTGAATTAACAAGACTAAGTTGTTTTTTGTTCAGTGCATCCACCAAACTATTATCGCCACGGGCAGTTCTGTCGGACAAACAATTTTAACCTCAGTCGCGAACTTTTCTTTTCTTCCAGACCGCATATGAAACTGTCTTACTCCTAATTTCCCTCAAAAGCATTAAAAAAAGCTGATATTGATAAACCAAGTGTATATCCCTGGGATGTATATCTTGTAAAGAGGAGCGGGAATACGGTGAATTTCTTTCAAACGAAATAAACAAACAGGACGGTAAAATATATTTTTGTTTGAATTGCTTTACTCCCTATTGAACCCAACGGAAACTAGACAAACACAAAGAAGACTGTCAAGGAATAGACGCTCCTCCTTCCAAAGTCGTTTTAACTGAAAAATAAAAAAAAAATCCTCATATTTAAAAACCACAAAAACAAGACGCCCCCTCTGTCATCTACGCAGAGTTTGAATCCGTTTTAGAACCCGTTTCTCCACAAGAAGGTAACACGGTCAAAACTCAACACCACAAACCGTCTGGTTATTCCTATGCAGTCGTACGCTGCGACGGTGTCTGCACTAGTCTTAAAATCTATCGAGGTCAAGACGCTGCGACTCACTTTGTTGAGCCTCTCAAGCTAGAACAAAACGTAATCAATCAAATATTTGCCAAACCAAAACCGCTCGTTTGGACGTCTGACCTACAGAAACAACACTCGACTTGTAACACCTGTTGGATCTGTGAAAAAAGATCTATCCTGCCAAAGAGACACAGTGTCAATGTTCTATTAAAAAAACTAAATCACAAAAGATAGAATTTAGTTTTAAAAACGACCTCGATTATACCGAATACATCTGCATGAGATGCGAAAAGCCCATCAGCAAGTTTAGAAAAGTTCAAGATCACTGTCACATCACCCTGCCGGTAAATATAGAGGCGTTACTCACGCAAACTGTAATCTCAAACTCCGAGTCAGAGCTTACGAGACCCCCCTTTCAGTTATCTTTCATAACTTGGAAAACCACGATGCCCATCTCATCACGCGAGGCGCTTAACCACGATGCCCATCTCATCACGCGAGGCGCTTCTACTTTCACGGGTCAAAAAATAAGTCATCGCTAAAAACTCTGAAAATTACATTTCGTTTTCTTTTGACCAACTGCTAGATTTATCGATTCGTTTCATTTTATGGCCGCTTCACTCGATCGGTTGGTTCAAACCTGCCCCAGAGACGCATTTCAACTGCTTAGTGATCGTTTTCCAAACAATACCAACTTGCTCTTACAAATATCCGTACGAATACGTCGATTCATTTGGAAAATTTAAAAACCAGTTTCACACTCGAAGTAACTCTCGATTACCCCGAACACCTACACGATCTACAAAACGATTTCCCCCCGACACCCGAAAACATTCAGGTACCGAGCAAATAGTAAAACTATCAAAAAGACTTGATGGATCAAAACAGAGAAAACTCTTCTGTAGACAAACTCATAGCTACTTTTGACCAAACACTAATACGTCCTTCACTATCGCACGTTGCAAAAATATCTCGAGCTCGGCTTACGATTGAAAACAGTTCACCAAACGAAAAAAATGTTGTTGTTGAATTGTTTTTGTTAACGACGATGAACACATTGCTAAAATTTACTCCCATGGTCTTCCTCAACAACAAGGGTGGTAAAACTACGATCGAGTTAGAAAAATTGAGTTAGACATTATTTTTTAGGCGTATAGTTAAAAGAAACGATGAATGGTCACAATGGCGTTAATAAAAGGCTTTATCCCAAGCTACCAGGCGAAACAATTGGAACTCATAAGCAAAGCGTAGTGAGCCAAAATCTGTATAGATTGTAAAAGAGTGAAGACATCAAAAAAGAATTGGTGCAAGAACGCGACTCGAAATCGCTTAAGTACAAAAAGATCAAACGGATGCTCACCGCGATAAATTACTTAGAATACGGAATCGAACCACTGGGTGCCGCGAGTGCCGCGATAAGTATCCCTGCTTTAATGTGGGTTATATCGGCCCCCACCGGGCTAGTGATGGAGGGTCTCGCCATCAGTGCGTTTGGAGCACACGAGCTGTTGAAAGACGCGAGTCGTAAGTTGGTTCACAAAACCAAAAAACACGAGCAGATTGAGGTGTTGTGTGATGCGGAGTTGAATACAATCGATGAGTATGTATTGCACGCAATCAACGACGGTGATATTAGCCACGAAGAATTTGTGTTGATCACGGGTGAATTTGCAAGTTTAACGAGATGAAAGAAAAGATTCGCAATAAAGCAGACACCAAACTAAGTGAAACGAGTAATAAAGCAGAAATTCAGTCCACAACTGAGGAACGCACTAAAACGTTGGCGAGAGAAATGGTTGACAAGGAGAAAACACTTGATCGCAAAGATAAACGATGGTGTTGGAGTTTAAACATTGTTAAACACGAAAACGGGCGGTATATAGGGTATGAGCGTGCAGCAAAACAAGCTGATCTACCGAAATACAGTGAACCAAGCGCGCCTGAAATGACGTTTTAATAAAAAAAATCCTCCAACTCAATTGGGGTGGGGGTTTAGTTTATCTTATAATAGATAGACTTTGTTTAGGACTCGTTTTACTCGGTATCACCCTCACTTTTGCTCAAACACAAAGCTTGTGAAATTGCTTTTTATACAAAATTTTTAAATCGATGGTTGGTTTTAGTTGTGCTTCATCGACTCGACATCTAACGCTAGTGCCACATGAGAGTGAGCCGTGAGATCTGTAAAATACATCTGGTATGATAATCAACACTTTCACTTTGCATCGTTTGTTTGTATAATAATAGGTTTGGGTCGGTTTTTGATATTTGACATACATACGATGTTGATCGGTATAAGGAGGTTTAATGGCATGATTTATTTCATCCTTATCATCCTCAAATTTAAATTTTTCAGAAGTCCGATAAGCATTAATTATGCCTTTGGATAACGGGTTGTTTTTTTGAACCTGTTCAGCGAAGTAACCATAGACTTTTTTTATTGATATCATCTAAGAACGTTTCTGTGTCCGGATTTGTGTCAAACACGATTTGATATTGACCCATGTCTTTTCTAGTTCCAAATTCGTAAATGGGTTGAATGCCATAACAACTCGTCGACGCGATAAAACATAATTGTTTGTTTTGGTCTTAGTGCTTCTAGATGATCGGAGAATAAGCATAAGCTATGTCACCATTGTTTCTTTGGATTGCTTTTTAAATAATTTTTTGGACCATAAGTAATATTTTGGTCAGTGTATTAACTTCGTTGAGACGTTCGTGGTCTTCGGTAACGATGTAGGTTTGGAGTTTAGACATGATTTGACTTCTTCTAATTTGTATTGAGATTTCAAAATTTATTTCAATTTTTCAGTAAAATGAAGAGATGTCTGATTTAAGGTGAGATTTTCCCTTGGGTAGGTATATGGGAGAGTGCACAGGGCACCGAGGGCAGCGTTGGCACCGTGAGGAGCTTGGGCACGCAGGGCACCGAGGGAAGGTTGGGAAGCTTGGGCACCAAGGGCACTGAGGGCGGTGGGTTGGGTAGAAGGAGAGAGAAGCTTTGACTCAGGGTGCTTGGGCGGTGGGCTGGGTAGGTATATACGGGGAGGAAAGGGTTGGGTTGGGCACGCAGGGTACCGAAGGCACAGTGGGAAGCGTGGCACCGAGGGCACCATGGGCAGCGGCAAGGGAGGGGAGGTGGAGGGAGGGGCTGGGGCATAACTGTCCAGGGGGGGGGCTGCTGTGGGTGAGATTTTTCAATTTTTAGGGTCGGGTAGGTACCCAGGAAAAATCTTGGTCCAGAACGTCCCTATCTCTACTACTCGCATCATTTTAAATAAGCCCTTGGTTCATTTAAAATCTATTATGTGGTGCACGCCTGACCTCAGGATCTAGAAGTACGACAGATTGGCAGGAATGCATAGGTTTATGCACAAACGTTGGATGCGTCCAGTAGGCATCACTTTGTATGAGCCAGCGCTTTAGTTTTTATGGGAAAACTCGAAATTTTGTACTACGGCTTCTATACGGTGATTTTTACATTTGCTCAAGCTAATAAATTTTGGTGTTTACAAATAAAAACTGACCAATCATCATCTGGCAATTCTTTCACATTGCATATGTAAGTTTCTATCAAGTATTTTCCTCTCTTTACAGCGCACTCTGAGTAGGGTGGCATCCAGACTGTGGTGTTGCATATTCATAATTTTCATTTTCTAGTACATGGTATGCAGCTAGCCATCCGAATCTGTTGTCTAGAGCTAGGTCTAGGTCTTCGCTCCATTAGAAATACGCGGAGACGCGAATAAATAGACCTAGCCGTAGCTCTGGAAGCCCGTGCTCGTAAAACAAGCAATCATGTCAGCTGCCTGGCTGCGGTAGCCAACGACGCGATGCGACGTGGTTTTTCAGTGACGGACGTGTGTACGTCGTGGACGAACTTTTTGCGAATTCTGTGCTGTGTGATACAGAAGAATCTGACTTTAGGCCTGGTAGATGAAGCTGCCGAAGGGGTGATTGTGATGTGTGTTTTAATTAGGAAAAATGTCTTCACAACGTTCTGCTTTTGGCGAGCCTCCCAACTACCACCGCCGACCGCGGTCACGCTCGGCCACTGCCTGTATAACGACGACTTCTGGGGCTTCTCGAACAATGTCGGCGAATGTCCGTCGACTTCACGAGGCTCTGAACAGCACCTTACCGGATCACGATAGGGCCTACTTTGTCCATGCTCTGAACGAATACAATTCCAGGAGGAATGTCTATACTCTGGTTGCCAATCTGAAGGCGATCTTGGATTCACCGGAGAAGAGGCAACTGTATCTTCTCTTGGAGAAAGTATTACCATCCTCCGACCAAGCCTTATTCTGGCAGCACGCAGAACCCCTTTACAATGAGAGAAGGCAACTAGAAAGTGTTACTAATAATAGGAAGACAAACGTCAGTCGTGGGGAGCAAAAACACCATTTTGACACTATGCCTACGAGGACAAGACCTCTGGATATGTATGATGAACCGCATGGGAAAACGCACAGAAAAACCTCAGGAAGAAGCTGGGAAACAGATGCAAATAAAGATGTTAGGAGGATTGTCTTTAAAAAGTCAGACTCACAGGATGGAGAGCTGGGGTTCAGCATTCGAGGGGGATCAGAACACTCAGTTGGGATTTTTGTGTCATTGGTGGAGCCCAATACAATGGCTGAGAGAAAGGGACTGCAGCCTGGAGACCAACTCATCCAAGTGAATGACATACCATTGGAAAAAATAACACATGGAGAAGCTGTAAAGGTAAGATACTGTAAAAATGATGGAAATCATCTTGCAATGAAATACATGGATTCCACACCCTTTTTTTAAACTTCTGGCCAACTAGACCAGAACAGTTTATCTTGAGGAATGCCAGCCATACCAGTTGGTCACTCACTGTCAGGGGGTCCGGACAACTTGACCGTTTCCAACTCGACTTCGGACAACTCGACCGCTGAAACAACTCAACCTTTGAGACAACTCGACCGTCCGTGCGTAAAAGGTTGAGACAAGTCGTCCGTTGGGACACTGTCCGCTCAGCCCAGTCGTCCACTGAGGCCACAGTGTAAAATACTATACATGTATGCCCTAATGATGGGATAGAATTTCATGTAGTAGATATAGACAAGCCTAATTTCTGAGGTACGGTATTTATAAAAAAGTGGCTGTAGTAAGTCAATCTTTGTGCAATCAACCGATTTTGCAATGCACGTATATGGCCCGTATGCATTAGGGGTACAGTCGTTTTCCTAGTTCCAGATAGCTTGAAGTAAAAACCTACATGTACATGTACCTCCTTGGTCTTGTCCTTCAGTTCTGGATTCTCAGACAGGTTCTGGTTTAAAGTGAAATGTAAACTTCTTGTAGAACAAAACTTTCTCTCCGAAAATTTCGGCCAGAATTCTGATTTGCACTTTGACATTTTGGAACGGGAGAGGGAAAAAATTACGAATAGTCTAGGGTGATATGTCACTCACTACGAGTGATCCCAAATCCTTTTTTTCATACTTAACAGTCATATAAACTCTTGCATTATGCCTGTTTAAGCAACTTTCATCATTGCGTTTTATTAAAACTGGCCAAAAACTGAATGCATATTGTTTCTTAGTTTTGGATCATGCATTAAGTGCATGCACGCAATATACTTTGCGAACTCGTCTCGCTATACGGATGTTGCAGAAATGTATGTGACGTAATGGGTTCGTCAGCTGTGCGACACGAGGTAGTATCGTTGATGGCTCGCGCTTTGCAGCTGACTGAAAAAGTTGAGTCAAAATTTACACAAGATCCAATTTTTTGAGAAATTGTTCATCACAAAATAAGCTTTTTACAATGGTTCTGGCTGAAAATAGATTTGCTGCTCTCGTACAGTTACAGTTACTTTCCGGAAACCGATCCAGAACAAGAAAAAGTGCAACCACCTGTACGTCACCGAATTAAAAGTTTAAAATTGGTATTTCAGTCACACAAGGTGGGTGGCGACTACATTTCACTGAAATTTGAGGACTTTTGTAGAGCTGCAATCTGACTGAATAATTTCGCGATCTTAAACTGGGAAAAGGACTGTATTATGTGAAGAGATCTCACTGGCCGAGTTGTCTCTCTGTCAAAGTGTTTGATAGTGTTTGGAACCTACTGAATGAGAAAGCTGGCATAAACAAGGTGCCTTTATTTTTCTGTTTGTCTGTGTGTGCTGCAGTAGGCAGAACTTGCGCCAAGTCCATCTAAGGAAATTCTTCTGGATTACTTGCACAGGAAATATACCATAAAATGGACAGGGGTGATCGGGAATATGTACAGTAATTAAAATTGTTGAACAAAACCCTTGGAAATTTATCGTTTATTGACTTCTTTTATGAACAGGAATAAATGTTCTTGGTCGCTCTAATGTTCAAGACTGACCCAGGAGAATGAATGCCCGAGCCGCAGACGAGGGCATTAGTCTTGTCCATTTTACTGAGCTGGTCTTAAATACACATTTAAGACTGGTCAAGCACATAATCAACCCTGAACAAAAGAAAATTATGGGGATAGGCAAAGTGGCAGTGTGGTTAGGGTGAAGCGATAAGGGGCATAGTGGAACTGGGGAAGTAAAGCATACCGTCAGTGTCACATGTGCAAAGATGTGTGCCATTGTGTAAAGGCCAATTCATACTTCCTGTGAAAGCAAAAATGAACGGGAATTTGAAAGGGCAAATCAAATATTCAGGTTGCGACACCGTTCAACTTAAGTGAACTTTCACTGCAAAGTTGTCATGACGTCAAATTCGCTTCACTTTTGCATTTCTCCTGACCTATGACCTAGCCTTTACCCTTGCTCACTTTCACATTTTGCCTGAAGTAGGACCTTGCCCTCTAGAAACCCATGGTGTCCCATAGAAAATAATGTGTTCTGTTGTGTGTATCAATGCTTTTTAACAATTAACTTATTAATGAGAGACCACTGTTGTGGTTCTGCCATGTACATTGTTTGAATATTGTATTTTTGAATTTCTGAATATCAATGCCCTTTTTTCAAGGGACATTAAATCTTGATTCTCTTCTTTGAAAACAGAGTGGTTTTTAACTTTTGGAAAAAAGCAGTTTTTAATGCATAGGCAATTTAGTCGAAAAGCATCGTTTGCTGGTCATTTGACATCCTTAACTGCTGTAGGAGTTGATCTGTTCCCATCTTGACCAGTCCATCACAGTCAAGTCTTGACTGATCTGGGACCCACACTATCTTGGACCCATGCCAACTTGGACCCACCCCAAACCAACTCGGATCCACAAAGACTTTGCAGAACCGGTCTGATCCCAGGCAATCTAGGAAGAGCCTCAGAACCGGTCTGGTCCCAGGCCATCTAGGTAGAGCCTCAGAACCGGTCTGGTCCCAGGCCATCTAGGAAGAGCCTCAGAACCGGTTGGTTTGTGCCATCAACTTGAAGGAGAGAGAGAACAGCGGAGACTCCCTGTCTCTACATGCAGTGCATGTGGCAAGTCGTCTACTTGAAGGAGAGGGAGAAGCAGTGGGAACCAGTAGTATGAACCAAGTGAATTTGAAATTTGTCAAAGAGTTTTGGAAATACCACATGAACAAAGTTTAGAGAAATTTTGCAATATATTTGCACAAGGGCTGATTGGGAGGGGGGGCGGCAAAGGGGACCATGGCACCCCCCCAAAAAAAACAATGATATTTTTAATCAGTCAGAGTAAAGATATTGAATGTCTTCAGTGGAGGTTGTTTTGTATGGACTGGCTCAGGAGACTGAATGCTGATAATGCCCTAGTATGTGGCTCGGGCATTAGTTGCAACCATTCTCCTGAGCTGGTCTAAATCTGCATTTAAGACCAGCCAAGCACATATGTATGGTTTTGTGGTGGTTCTGAGTTGGTTATGAGTCCAAATTGGTGCAGATCCAAGTTGGATTTGGGTTCAACTTAGTATTGGTCCAAGTTGGTTTGGTCAGAGTTGACTCGAAACCACTGATTGGAAAGTGAAATATATCAGCATGTACTGTACAAGTATGCTCTACTAAGTTCCTCTGAAATTATATTTTGGCCTAATTTTTCAATTTGTTTAGTGCACAATAAACTCATTTAATATGCACCCAAAAATGTGAACATAATTTTGTTGCGAACTTGTACCCTGTAGTTCGGTATTGTGCATGGAAGTACATGTATTAATTATTTACGATTTTATCAACTTAAAGAAATTTTTAAATGTTAATGTGGGATTTTGTAAATTTTTATTCAAGCTTGTCACGTTCGGGAGGACTCTGCTGAATTTGTGCCCACTTTTCGGTCGCCTCCGTTTTTGAATTCCGGACTAATTTTCATGACAATGACCCTGTTCACAAAGTTTTTAACTGTCTCATTTGGTGCATTTACAGACATGTGCCAGCCGCTGTTTTTGCGGTTTGCCAAGCGCACATGCGATTGTTCATGTAAGGAGTAAAGACACATGCATTTTAAACTTTTGCCCGGCTAACCCGGGTCGACAGTTAAAAACACATGCGCAATAGCAGATAGTCCAGAACTGTCACCCTTGTGTACTGTGTCACGTTACTTAGTTAATTGTTCTACTTGTACATTACATGTATGATGTGCGCACTTATGTTTACATCCTTTTTTACTTATTCTCTAAAACGCACTGCTTATAACGAGACTAAATTATTTTCTAACGTGAAACATAAAACATTGAATAAACAAAACCTTGTAACCTAGGAATTTCTGCTTTACCACAGCAGCACAGGATGTGTGTGGATGGGGGTGAACCACCCACTGTGGTACCCACAAACATTGTCCTCCTCCCCACTGATGACTTACATGACTCATGCTTATTGGCGATCAACTTTTACCGCATTGCGTGACCTAAACCTGTCTCACAGATAACTCTGCTGTAGTGGAGGAGGGAATGGTGAAAGGAGTGAAACTGCAGATGGTTGGCTACCTGTATCTGAAAATGTAGATAACAATTATAATAAATTTACAAATTTAGTACATCCTGGCATTGGCGTGCAAAAAGCATGAGTGGTACGAATGCAGTCATGCATCAGTACTTATACCTCGCCTGACATACCTTAGTGAACAATACTATTGTTATGCTAACAAGCTTCGTTACACCTGTTCAGTGTGCTTCTGCTTCTTAAAAAATACATACTTATTTGTGCATGTAGGCAAATTGCACAAGAACCTTTTCTGGTTACAAAGTGTGCTGGTAAATTGAATGTTCAATTACCAGGCCTCGAATTTCAGGACGGCCATGGCCGTCGGTGCCTTCCCATTTGGCCGTTGTGCCTCTGAAAAGTGATTGTGTTTCACCACCAAGATGGCAGTGTCCTTTTTTTTCTCTTGGTCATAGTGCCCTACACGTGCATATCAACTGCCCTGTTCAGCGAGTTACACGGAAAGCGGTATGGAAAGCGGCATACCCATTGTTCCTTGATTGCTCACATTCGACCGGAACACCGCGCCACGCCACAAAAATGCATGGCATGCACGCATAAAGCAGGGCGTGACTGCACTGTGTGTATGTGGGAATGTCGTACACTCAGCCCACCGCACACCGGCGCCGGGCCCGCTCCATGCATACTTCAAGATCGTAAGCATAGCACGACACAAGCGACACCTGCTGGCCTATCCAACAGCTTAACATAACAGCGTATGCCAAAGTTAAGTATTTTAATGTACCATGCAATAATGTCAGTCTAGAACAAGTGCTTATCAACGTGTACGCGTTATCGGTATACCAAGAGCTCCACATTTTTCATGCACACAGG